TGGGTGTGTTCCAGTCGTGAAAGTGGAACAGAGAGAGAGAGAGAGAGAGAGAGAGAGAGAGAGAGATATACTAGTGTTGGCAGCCCATGTTGGGGAGTTTCCGATCAATAATATAATAAACAGTGTGTGCGCCTCGGCCATCTGTTGGTATAAAACAAGACACAGTACAGCACAGTACAGCACAGCACAGTACAGCACAGTACAACACAGTACAGTACAGCACAGTACAACACAGTACAGTACAGCACAGCACAGTACAACACAGTACAGCACAGTACAGTACAACACAGCACAACACAGCACAACACAGTACAGCACAGTACAACACAGTACAGTACAGCACAGTACAGCACAGTACAACACAGTACAGCACAGTACAGTACAACACAGTGCAGTACAACACAGTACAGCACAGCACAGTGCAGCACAGTAAAGCACAGTACAACACAGTGCAGCACAGTACAGCACAGCACAGTACAGCACAGTACAACACAGTACAGCACAGTACAGCACAGTACAACACAGTACAGCACAGTACAGTACAACACAGCACAACACAGTACAACACAGTACAACACAGTACAGCACAGTACAGTACAACACAGCACAACACAGCACAACACAGTACAGCACAGTACAACACAGCACAACACAGTACAGCACAGTACACTACAGTACAATACAGCACAGTACAGCACAGCACAGTGCAACACAGTCGGTACAGTACAGTACAGCACAGCACAGCACAGTACAGCACAGTACAGTACAGTACAGTACAGTACAGCACAGCACAGCACAGCTGGTAGCACAGTACAGTGCAGCACAGCTGTGCAGCACAGTACAGTACAGTACAGCACAGCACAGTACAACACAGTGCAGCACAGCACAGTACAGCACAGTACAGCACAGCAGTACAGTACAGCACAGCACAGCGCACAGCACAGTACAACACAGTACAGCACAGCACAGCACAGCACAGTACAGCACAGTACAATACAGTACAACACAGCACAGCACGGCACAGTACGCACAGTACAGTGCAGCCTAGACAGCACAGCACAGTACAGTACAGCCAGGACTGCACTGCACTTGAGCAGTAGAGCAGCAACAGCACAGCACAGTACAGCACAGCACAGTCACAGCACAGTACAGTACAGTACAGTACAGTACAGCACAGTACAACACAGTACACAGCACAGTGCATTAACAGTACCAGTACAGTACAGTACAATACCAGCACAGTACAGCACAGTACAGTACAGCACAGTACAACACAGTACAGCACAGTACAGTACAGTACAGTACAGTACAGTACAGCTCGGCACAACACATTGCACAACACAGTGGCACAGTACAGCAGCACAGTACAGTACACAGGCCTGACACAGGCATCCATTGTACAGTACAGTACAGCCAAGAATCACCCTCAGGGACGCTGACAACACTGAGCTTGGCCGCACTACAGTACTGTACACATTGTGGGCCACCTGCCTCATCTACCTCTTAACCTGACCTGACCTGACCTGACCTAACCTGACCTGACCTGACCTGACCTGACTTCCCTACCTCTCTCTCGGAACTGCTGAAACCTCCTCCTACAGATACCCAGCCGTCAGCATCACGCCGTCCCTTGCTGAGCAAATATTCTTCCTTCTAACATAACTTAACCTGCCACTTACCCTAACCTAACTTAACCTGCCACTTACCCTAACCTAACTTAACCTGCCACCTACCCTAACCTAACTTAACCTGCCACTTACCCTAACCTAACTTAACCTGTCACTTACCCTAACCTAACTTAACCTGCCACTTACCCTAACCTAACTTAACCTGCCACTTACCCTAACCTAACTTAACCTGCCACTTACCCTAACCTAACTTAACCTGCCACTTACCCTAACCTAACCTGCCACTTACCCTAAATCTGACGAGGACTCCGCAAAACTACAGAAAGATCTAAACAAATTTTTCGAATGGTCTGAAAAAGACAGATGAAATTCAATGTGGACAAATGTAAAGTACTCAGTATAGGAGATGTAAACAGGGAAACCAGATACCAGATGAACGACGATGCCATTGAGAAATCCGACTGCGAGAGAGATTTAGTAGTAATGATAAGTAGGAACCTTAAGCCAAGTAAACAATGTGTTTTTGCTCGTAACAAGGCTAATAAAGTACTTGGGTTCACACAAAGGAGTGTTAGTTACAAGACTAGCGAGGTCATCCTAAAACTGTATCTTGCTCTTGTTAGACCACACTTGGATTACGCAGTTCAGTTCTGGTCACCGTATTACAGAATGGATATAGAATCCTTGGAAAGAATTCAGAGGAGAATGACAAGACTAATCCCGGGCATTAGGAACCTTGAGTACAGAGACAGGTTAAAGCATCTTAATTTGCACTCCCTCGAGAGACGTAGAGTGAGGGGCGACCTGATAGAGGTGTACAAGTGGAAGTCAGAGCTAAACAAAGGGGACATGACAAAGGTACTCAAACTATCCAACCAGGAGCGAACTCGTAACAATGGTTTTAAATTAGACAAATTTAGATTTTGGTGTGAAATAGGTAAACACTGGTTTGGAAACAAGAGTAGTGGATGAATGGAACAAGTTACCAAATATCATCATTAACTCTAATACACTGGATAGCTTGAAACAGAGGCTGGATGCTTATATGAGCAATAGGGGTTGGGTATAAACGGGACTGCCTAGTATGGGCAAATAGGCCCACTGCAGTTTCCACCATCTTATGTTCTTGTGTTCTTATGTTACCCTAACCTAACCTGCCACTTACCCTAACCTAACTTAACCTGCCACTTATCCTAACCTAACTTAACCTGCCACTTACCCTAACCTAACTTAACCTGCCACTTACCCTAACCTAACTTAACCTGCCACTTACCCTAACCTAACTTAACCTGCCACTTACCCTAACCTAACTTAACCTGCCACTTACCCTAACCTAACCTAACCTTACCTTGTCTCATAGCTCAAGTGAAAAAGTTATATAATTCTTCTAATTAAAGAAGTAATCTCGCTTAAGTGTTTTATATCTTAAGTGAGACAGTTAAACATAACCTCATGGCGCTAATCTGACGAACGACCATTTACAACACACCTTTAGGTCGTAACTTTACACAGTCAGACCATTCTCAAATCTTCACCTAACATCATAATCTGACGCACGACCATTCTCAAATCTTCACCTAACACCATAAACTGACGCACGACCATTCTCAAATCTTCACCTAACACCATAATCTGACGCACGACCATTCTCAAATCTTCACCTCACACCATAATCTGACGCACGACCATTCTCAAATCTTCACCTCACACCATAATCTGACGCACGACCATTCTCAAATCTTCACCTAACACCATAATCTGACGCACGACCATTCTCAAATCTTCACCTAACACCATAATCTGACGCACGACCATTCTCAAATCTTCACCTAACACCATAATCTGACGCACGACCATTTACAACACATTTTTGCGTCGTAACTTAACGCAGTCAGGTGGTAGAGTTCTCAGGCGATCGCTAAGGTGAAGCAGAGAGAAAAGATTAAAACGAAGAGAGTGAGAGGGAGAGGGAGAGGGGAGAGAGAGGGGGAGTAAGAGAGAGGGAGAGTGAGAGGGAGAGGGTGAGAGGAGAGGGAGAGGGGTGAGAGTGAGAGGGGGTGAGTAAGAGAGAGTGGAGAGTGAGAGTAAAACGAGGAGAGAGAGTGGGAGAGTGACAGACGTTAGTGGAGAAAAGTTAAAGTGAGAGGAGCGGAAGAGAGAGAGAGAGAGAGAGAGGAGAGAGAGAGAGAGAGAGAGAGAGAGAGAGGGGGGGGGGTAAGCGCCTGCGTGCTGCCGTGTGTATTGGATTCCTCACAGTGAGGCAGAAGGCAGATCAGACTGGAGCCACTCAGGGCTGGGACACTCACTCAGGTCTGGACGCTGGTGCTGACACTCACCAGTTCGACGCTGGTGCGACACTCACCAGGCTGACGCCGGTGCGACACTCACCAGGCTAACGCTAGGCTGACGCTAGGGGCTATACACTCAATAGGCTAACGCTAGGCTGACGCCAGGGCCGACACCACCAGGCCAACGCCAGGCTGACACCAATAGGCTGAGGCTGACGCTAGGGCTGACACTCACTAGGCTAACGCTAGGGCTGACACTCATTAGGCTAACGCTAGGGCTGACGCTAGGACTGACACTCACTAGGCTAACGCTAGGGCTGACACTCATTAGGCTGACGCTAGGGCTGACGTTATGGCTGACACCCACATACAGTATTAAAAGATATTCGCATATATATATATTTGACGATTAATGAGAAAAAATGTGAAATTCAACAAAATATGAGAGAGAGAGAGAGAGAGAGAGAGAGAGAGAGAGAGAGAGAGAGAGAGAGAATAATGGGTTTTTTCCCGATATATTTCAGAGATAATTTTTTTTTTTACTTTCAATGTCAGGGAAAAAAATATTGTTTATTTGAGTAATTTTTGTTTTCATTCGTTTTCGTTAACTTTAAAAATATTTTGGGGGGGGGGGCGTGTGAGTCGTGAAGTGTGTTTTATTCCGTTTTATTCCGTTTTATTGTGTTTTATTGTGTTTTAATTGTTGTTTTATTGTGTTTGTCTGTCTGTCTGTTTGTGTGTTCATTATAAATCCGTTTCAGTTATAATGTATTTGTGTTATTAATATTTACGACAAAACATAATAATACTCGTTTTAATTATTTCCATTTAAAGAATAATATTTGTTTTGTCATTAATGAAAATAATAAAACAAATTAAACCTCAATAAATAAAACCCATAAACCAGAATAAAACAGAAAAAAATTATACAACAAAATCATTAAAACGCAATAAAACACAAGAAAATAAAATAACATGAAAGAAAACACAGGAAAACAAATTAAAACACCTATAAAACAAATTAAAACACCATAAAACACAATATAAACCACAATAAATTACCTTTACTTCCCCCAACCAGTAAACTCGGGTATTCCTTTACAGTTGGGTGGACTGGGAGGGCCCCGGGATCGAACCAGCGACCCTTAATACAGGTGAGTTTAGTATTATATCCACTCAGCCATTACCAGATGTGTGGAGAGAGAGAGAGAGAGAGAGAGAGAGAGAGAGAGAGAGAGAGAGAGAGAGAGAGAGAGAGAGAGAGAGAGAGAGAGAGGAGAGAGAGAGAGAGACCATGCCCAGGCATTTATATTACTCTTAATACTACCCAGGTTGTTCTACAATATTTATGCAGTTTTAAGGGGCCAAGAGGAAGGGAGGGGAGGGAGAGCGTGTGTGGGAGAGGGGAGACAGGGCAAGGTGGAGGGAGGGGAGACAGGGGTGGGAGGGAGACAGGAGGGAGGGAGAGGGAGGAGGAGACAGGGAGGAGGGAGGGAGGAGGGGAGACAGGGTGGGGAGGAAGACAGGGGTGGAGGGAGATGTGGGAGGGAGGGAGAGGGGAGGAGAAGGGGAGGGGAGGCGACAGGGGTGGATAAAGACAGGGTGGAGGAGAGGGAGGGAGTGAGGTGAGATGAAAGTGGAGGAGAGAGCAGAGGAGGGAGGGAGGGAGACAGGGAGGGAGGGAGACAGGGTGGTAGACAGAACTCTCTCATGATCTTGTTCACCAACACCTGATACACTGTCACACACTATGGGGGCCTCTGGCTCTACAAAAACACAACCCCTCGTCACACCACAGAAGAGAGTTGTGCGGACAATGACCCACTTGGAAAAACTGATCACAATAACGAACAATTTGCTTAATTGAAAATGTTAAAAGTTGAGGATATTAACACCTACTGCTGTGCCCTATTTGTCTATAAATCTGTTAATCACTTAATTGAGAATAATTACTTCTAGTTCCGGAATAATCAGAGATACAACTTAAGGCACCCAGAGCTACTAAGACCACCCCCCATGCGCTCCTCTCAGTCCCAGACCTCCATAAAATACCACAGTGTGAAGGTGTGGAACAACTTAGCCCCACCCATCCCAGCAAAGACTACGCTCCCTTCCTTTAAATCATCTCTTAAAAAATATATTTTGTTTAAATATAAATATTTCTTGTAACACTTACTTTGTACTCTTATTTTTACCATTAAAACCATTATATCATATATTTTCATGTAGACAGAAATTAACTTTATAATAATTATATATTTACCATCATGACATGACCTTGAGGTGCCTTCAAGACAGCTCAGGCTCTCTAGTGGCTCTCATGTCGTTGTTATCTGCCCTCTATCTGTAATCGTGGTTAAATAAACTGCTTCAATATCACGACCACTATCAATAGCGATGAATTTTGGTGGGTAGCCAAAACGACTGAGAGTGCGCCAGAAGGCTTCCCTGTTGAAGGCCTCAGTAAGGTCGATGTGCAAATCATGATGCTGTTCACTGCACTTTTCCTGTTTCTGGCGGGCAGCAAAGATCATGTTAGTGGTGCCACGTGATGGTTTAAAGACACACACACACACACACACACACACACACACACACACACACACACACACACTGTATAAACCCGTTAAGTAAGAGCTCCAACTTAACTCATTATCCCTTAAGATAAGTTAATACTCGAGCGTTACCTCGTCTTTCACCCTTCAAGTTTTTACTCCCAAGTATTTACAAACTTCAGACGACGACCTGCAAATTTCTCACTCTAAGTCCAACCTCGATCATATGTGTGTGTGTGTGTGTGTGTGTGTGTGTGTGTGTGTGTACAAGAACTCCCAGTGCCTCCCTAACAGCCACCTCTTATGCTGGTCAATTACTAGGTGTATTATACCAGGTGAGGCAGCCATAGTGCTGTCTAGCGCAGGGTGAAGTGATGACGTTGAGAGAGAGAGAGAGAGAGAGAGAGAGAGAGAATAAATTGATAGATTAAAATATATTTTTTTAGTTAGACAAATAAATAGATAGAGAAAGAGAGATATAAATCTATATAGAGATAGAGATATATAGAGATAGAGATAAATAGAGATCATCAAGCAATAAACATGACGCCTGCGTAAGGAGATAAAATTGATCCATACTGTTGACTGAGTAGCTCTCTCTCTCTCTCAACAGTCAATACATTATTTCGACTCAATTTTCTTGGCACCATTAACTGCACCATGCGACCATTAACTGTACCATGCCACCATTAACTGTACCATGCCACCATTAACTGTACCATGCCACCATTAACTGTACCATGCGACCATTAACCCACCATTAACCTGAACTATTGCACCATTAACTGTACCATGCCACCATTAACTGTACCATGCCACCATTAACTGTACCATGCCACCATTAACTGTACCATGCCACCATTAACTGTACCATGCCACCATTAACTGTACCATGCCACCATTAACTGTACCATGCCACCATTAACTGTACCATACCACCTTAACTGTACCATGCCACCATAAACTGTACCATGCCACCATTAACTGTACCATGCCACCATTAAGAATACCATGCGACCATTAACTGTACCATGCCACCATTAACTGTACCATGCCACCATTAACTGTACCATGCCACTTGCTGTACCATGCCACCATTAACCCACCATTAACCTGAACTATTGCACCATTAACTGTACCATTAAACTGAACTATTGCACCATTAACTCCACCATTAACCTGAACTATTGCACCATTAACTGTACCATTAAACTGAACTATTGCACCATTAACTCCACCATTAACCTGAACTATTGCACCATTAACCGTACCATTAAACTGAACTATTGCACCATTAACTCTACCATTAACCTGAACTATTGACCATTATCTACCATTAACTGAACTATTGCACCATTAACTTTACCATTAACCTGAACTATAGCACCATTAACTCTGCCATTATCCTGAACTATTGCACCATTAACTCAACTATTGCACCATTAACTCTACCATTAACCTGAACTATTGCATTAACTCCACCTTAACCAACTATTGCACCATTAACTCCACTATTGCACCATTAACTCTACCATTAACCTGAACTATTGCACCATTAACTCCACCATTGCACCATTAACTCTACCATTAACCTGAACTATTGCACCATTAACTCTACCATTATCCGACTTTCATTAACCTGAACTATTGCACCATTAACTCTACCATTAACCTGAACTATTGCACCATTAACTCTACCATTAACCTGAACTATTGCACCATTCTGCCATTAACCTGAACTATTGCACCATTAACCTACCATAACCTGAACTATTGCACCATTAACTCTACCATTAACCTGAACTATTGCACCATTAACTCTACCATTAACCTGAACTCTGCACCATTAACCTGAACTATTGCACCATTAACTCTACCATTAACCTGAAATTGCACATCCTGAACTATAGCACCGTTAACTCTACCATTAACCTGAACTATTGCACCATTAACGAACTATAGCACCATTAACTCTACCATTAACGTGAACTATTGCACCATTAACTCCACCATTAACCTGAACTATTGCACCATTAACTCTACCATTAACCTGAACTATAGCACCATTAACTCTACCATTAACCTGAACTATTGCACCATTAACCTGAACTATTGCACCATTAAGATAAATATATTTACGCCTAAACCATTAGATAACTTAATGAAGCGCTACTGATGTTGTGTTGGACCAATATTTATGGTGATGGTGTATGGTGATGGTGGTGATAGAGATGGTGGTGATGGTGTATGGTGATGGTGTATGGTGATGGTGGTGATGATGATGATGGTGGTGGTGATGGTATATGGTGTGGTGATGATGGTGGATGGAGGTGTATGTGGTGATGGTGTGATGGTGGTGGTGTATGGTGGTAGTGTATGGTGGTGGATGATGGTGGTGATGGTGGTAGTGTATGGTGGTGATGGTGATAGAGATGGTGGTGATGGTGGTGGTGTGGTGGTAGTGTATGGTGGTGATGTGGATAGAGATGGTGGTGATGGTGATGGTGGTGATGGTGGTGGTGTACGGTAGTGTATGGTGGTGATGGTGATGGTGATGGTGATAGAGATGGTGGTGATGGTGATGGTGTGTGATGGTGCTAGTGTATGGTGATGGTGGTGGTAGTATGGTGATGGTGGTGGTAGTGTATGGTGGTGATGGTGCTAGTGTATGGTGATGGTGGTGGTGGTGGTGATGGTGCTATGTGCATGGTGATGGTGGTGATGGCTAGTGTATTAAACTCTTTATATGGTCCAGCCAAAGTGTAATATAATTCGGTCTCGACCACAAAGTCACTTTAATACAATACTTTATCGACTATTTTACTTACAAACAATTTACAAACTTTTTCTCCCGTCTTAAATTACTGTCAATAATAGTTTGCCTGTCTGTGTCTGCCTGTCTGCGTCTGCCTGTCTGTCTGTGTCTGTCTTGTCTGTCTGTCTGTGTCTGTTTGCCTGTGTCTGCCTGTCTGTGTCTACCTGTCGTGTTCGCCTGTCTGTATCTGCCTGTCTGTCTGTGTCTGTCTGTCTGTGTCTGTCTGTCTGTGTCTGCTTGCCTGTGTCTGCCTGTCTGTGTCTGCCTGTCTGTGTCTGCCTGTCTGTGTCTGTGTCGCTGTCTGTGTCTGCCTGTCTGTGTCTACCTGTCCGTGTCTACCTGTCTGTGTCTGCCTGTCTGTGTCTGCCTGTCTGTGTCTACCTGTCTGTGTCTGCCTGTCTGTGTCTGCCTGTCTGTGTCTACCTGTCTGTGTCTGCCTGTCTGTGTCTGCCTGTCTGTGTCTGCCTGTCTGTGTCTGCCTGTCTGTGTCTGCCTGTCTGTGTCACCTGTTCTGTCTGTGTCTACCTGTCTGTGTCTTCGCTCTGTCTGTGTCTACTTGTCTCTGTGTCTGCCTGTCTGTGTCTGCCTGTCTGTGTCCACTTGTCTGTCTGCCTGTCTGTGTCTACCTGTCCTGTTCGCCTGTCTGTGTCACCTGTCTGTGTCTGCCTGTCTGTGTCTGCCTGTCTGTGTCTGCCTGTCTGTGTCTGCCTGTCTGTGTCTGCCTGTCTGTGTCCTACCTGTCTGTGTCTGCCTGTCTGTGTCTGCCTGTCTGTGTCTACCTGTC